AATAATTATTGTAAATAATTTTAATTGTAACTGTTTATGTTGTTAAATTATATTCATTTAACTAAGAAATTGGAATAAATGGAATACTGTATGTTGAGAAAATTTCGGGAATACTAAAATTTATGTACTGTTCTTTAAGATTTATGTTGAAATTTTTAAATTTAATAAATTTTATAATTTTAAAGTATATATCGTAAAATTAGAATATAATAGGAAATTAGTGTATTTTTTAAATATAATATTAACATAATTATTGAATTCCTACAAAAATTATTTATTTTTACAAATTTCATAAAATTGTAATTTTCATATTTCTAGAATAAAAATGTAGAGCTCGAATCTAAATTGCCCAATCTAAATCTAATTTGCTCAAAATTATAAAGAAATAAAAATATTTGAGTTATTTTTTTACATTAGATAAAGAATGTTATTTCTCTAACAAAATAAATTAATAATTTCTTTAAAATTAAGAACAATACAGAATGTTGAAAAACACACTTTTTAGAAATTCTAAAATTGGCAATTAGTTACAACTACAAAGTAGTGAAAATTAATAATAATAAACCATCATAGACTTTTTGCAATATATTGAAATTTGATTACATATAAAAAGTAGTTAAAGAAAAAAGAAAATTCACACGGTTGTTATGATTTACCATTTCCTAGTTATTGATTTCAATCACTAATCATTTTCGCTTGGTTAGAAAAAACAATTGTTTTTTGTTCTGTTATTTAATAATAAATTTTAACAATTTAGAACTGTTCTAAAATAATTAAGAACTGTTCTAAAATAATTAAGAACTGTTCCGAATAAGCATAAAAAATATTAAACACGAAGTTTATCAGGGCTGTCAATAAACGGAAACTATTTTATTTTTCAAAATAGAAACCATTGCAAATTTAACAATTTTAATTGAAATTTTACACCTACTAAATATGTTTCGGTATTTCCCATGTTCATTAAAAAAAACTTATCAAAATATGTAATTTATGAATTTGATTAGCATCTATCCTATTATACTTAAGACAGTGTTCTGGTTAAGACACAAAGGTATACTAATCAGGGCTGTGCGTTATGTTTGATGAAAATATGCATTTAATTTTTATGATCATTATTTTCATTTTTCAATAAAACTTTATTTTGCTCCCAAATCTAATCGTCAAATTAAATAACGCTTCTTTCAAAATTCATAATTATTTTATTGTATAATTTTAATTAATAATATTTGGATATAATAAGGGTCTTAATTTATCCATTTTTAGTGCAATATACTGCTTGTATAGACGTTGTTTACAAAATTTATAAAAATCAATTTCCCATGTGAAATTTTTTCTAACTAGTTCCTTAATTTCTTCTCTAACACTTAATCGTAAATCATTTCGATTAATTTTTTTCCATTCTTCAGGATTTTCTAGAAAAACAAAAATCAATTTTATAAGTTTATGTATGAAATGTTTTTGTTCCATGTACCATAAAAAAGTTTCATAGCATTATTGAAAAATCGTGGTAAATAATTTTCTAATACTGTAAGTGTAATATTTGTATCTTCCCAACTACCAACTACAGCAAAATGTTTTTCAACATTAGCTTTAGCACGCTGAACAACCTTTTTTGAATTGAAAACTCTATAACAAAAAAAATATTAAATAAGATTTAAGCAAAACTTAATATAATAGATTCGAATTCGTACAAACAATCAAAATCTACACCACAAAAATATCTGCTTTGACTTCTATAATCGAGTGCTTCACCAACTCTTAATTGTTCATATTGACATTCAGGGTCACCCCGTAAAACACATGTTTCAAATGTTTTCCGATACCAATTTTTTTTTCCTTCAGCTTTTATTATTGGAATATATCTTATACCATCAACAGCTTTAAATAAATCAGTTCGAACATAATAAAACCAACTTATAACACGTTCAATTGGATCTCTTACGAAAGCAATATAAATAGGTCTTGGTAACTTAAATTTATGAAAATCCATAAATGGATCATGTTTTCCTACTACAATACCTGGTTTTTTCATAGACACTGTTACATTAGCAACTTTTTTTTGAATATTTATTGCATTATGTGTTAGAAATTCTTTACTATAAATTTGATTGTCTCGATTTAATACCGAAAAATTATTATGACGTTTTGCGTTCTCAATAAACCAATACAAAGATATACTTCCAGTTTTTGGTGTTCGAACGCAATAAATAACTTCAATTTCAGCGTTTTTAGTATTATTCAAAAGTTTCGGATGCAATTGTAAGAGCTATTATTAAAAAAAAAAAATGATATGTGATATAAAATTATAATTTTAGTATTTCATATAAAAAAAATTTCTGTTTGGAACAATATTATTACAGAAACGATTTAGTGAGGAAAAGAAGCTTCCTGATATTTTTTTTTTTGTTTTTCTGGAGTTTAGTTTTACATATAGGAATAAGTGAAATTTTAGTATATTATAAAAATAGAATTATTTTATTTTAAAAGCTTTGTAATTATATTGAAATAAGCATACCGAATTTAGAAGTGGTAAAAAGATAGATACAGTTCCTGCAAAATCAATTTGATAAAATCTTTATTATCTATATTGAAGAAAAATCTTAAAAATTCATAGATAACTAAGTAAATTTTTGGAAACCTACCCATATGAATGAGCCGTTTCCTACAAAAATATTATCGTACCTTGGAAACCTACCCATATGAATGAGCCGTTTCCTACAAAAATATAACCGTACAAATATAATATTTAAAGCAATTGAGAAAATTGAAATTCTGTATGAAGTTTTAATCATCAACCCCAGGAAAGCAATATTATTGAAAATACTATTGAAGTTAAAAACCGAATATCTTGGAGACGCGATAGATGTTCATATAATACACCAATTATAAGGATACTATAAAACTTAAAATTTGAAGTATTATGGATGTTAAAAGTTACAAGACTTTGCAGATTGCATCAGTTTGCAGTATGGTAAGAACTAATTCTGTATATGTTTGTTAAATCTAAATTAAAAGTTTTATTTTCAAATATAAATTTTATTTGCAACAACTTGCTTTATTTAATAATAATTATTTTATTTTCCTTTTTTTTTTTAGTAATATATAATACATTGTGACAGAGCAAAAAAAAAAAGAAGAAAAAAACACTATTATATAAGACAATAAGAAATTTTAAAATTTGCATCTTTAAAACTTGAACAATGAATGATGAAATCTTAAATAAATTACATTCTTATTGAATTTCTTAAAATATGTTATAAACTTAAATACTATATTATATACTTAAAATTAATTTTATATATATAATTATATTTTTTTTATATAATTATCTAAAAAAAATACACAAAAAAAATTCTAAACAATTAATAACGACATTTTAAAATAGATTTTGTTTTTTTTTGTCATAAATACGCGATAATTAAGTTTTACGAATTATAAAATTAATTTAAAATAATAAAATAAAAAAAATGTGTGTATATATATATATAAATATATAATTATGTACATAATATATAATATTGTATTTATTATATAATTTAAGATCACATTTCTCTATAATTAACAATTTTAAATAAAAGTAATAATAATATAAAAATAAAAAAAAAATATAAAATAATGTTTTATCAAAGATCATTGTTAACATTGGGACGATTTCGTTATATTTATGAAATACAAATAAATTTTGCAAATAATAAGCTAGACAATATTTTATAAAATATTTAAAAAAATTATATAAAAAGTCGTCTACCAAATATAAGAATTTACATTAACATTACTTTTTTATAATTTTGCTACAATTTTGCAGAAAGTAAAATATTGTAAATATTTGTTGTACGAGTAATATTGAAAATAAGTAAATATTGATTTAAGTCAACTTGTTTAATTCTTAAAGAATAAATTTTTAGTATTCGTTCAGTTTTTTGCAACAAATTTTTGCAAACACAAATATGCATATATAAGATTTAGATAAGAAGTTTCAAGTTAGAACTTCAAAAACTAATTTCGTTTACTGAAATGTTTAGTAAAAAGTAGAAAGCAAGTTTGAATTTTGGTAGAAATCCAAACAAATAATAATTTTTCAATAAAAATTTTCATAAATTTAAGATGAATTATTAATATGATTTATAACTGGTATTAATTCCATAAGTTAAAATTTCGGATATCATATTGAAGCTTATTTGCTTTATAAATATAACGCACATAAATATTTTTATTTAAATAAATCCTTACATAACCAAATTTCTGTAATATTTTTAACTTATTTTTAAACTAAGCCAAAGTAAATTGATAATTTCTTTATTACATATTGTAATGTATAGTATAAATGAAATTTGGATAATAGGAAAAAAAATTATTATAAAATTTTGTTTCTTTCAATTGTATTATTATATTAAAATATATTTTAAATAATTTTTATTAAAATATAAAAAATTTATTTAAAAATTTTCTGATAGACCATATCCTATTTTTACGAATATTTAATTAAGATGGAACTGTCGTATAAGTTTCTAATAAATTATGCAAATATAAAATATATAATTAAATATATAATAAAAATAAAATATTTTACTTTGTAAATAAGGAATAATTTGTAAAATTTGAATTTAACTTTTAATTACTAAAATTACTAAATTTCTGTTTTTTTATAATTAAAGTTGTGTTATAATTTCTTGATTTGTTAATTTTTTAACGCAAGTAATAGAAGAGTAAATAATTGAAATAGACTTTATTTATTGTTTGTTATATTTTTGTTAAAAATACTAGACTGTATCTATCAATTTCAAATATAATGTAGCTATTAATTATAAGAAAACAATATTTTAAATTTTAATATCATATTGAATGTTAATTTAATCATGTTTCCAAGTTTTCTAAAAAATTAAAATATATTTTTGTTAAAATTAAAATTTAAATCTTAATATAAAGCAAAAATAAAGCAGATCAATTATTTCCATCATATTAAGTCTCTTGAAAATCGTAAAAATAGAATTTTTTTCCGTTTGAAAATATAATAATATTGTATTGTTCGTTTTACATAATAAATTTAGAATTAAATAATAATAAAATTAAATTAAGGTCTATCACTTAGAACTCGATCTGGTAAATTTACTGCTAAATACTGTTTATAAAGTCTTTGACGACAGAATTGATAAAATTCAATTTCTTTTGTAAAATTTCTTCTAACAATATCTTTAACTTCTTCTGTAACTGGCGGTTTAAATGCATTTTTATTTATTTTAGCCAAATGTTCAGCACTCTCTAAAAATATATATTTATTTAATATTATGTTATAAATTAAAATATGTAGATAATTGTTAAGTTTTCAATTGATTATTATTATAATACGTAATCTATATGTATGTAAATGAATTTTCACGTATTTTACTCTATAAATCTAGAATAGATATGATTTTCTATGTAATTCTATTTAGATTTCGTTTAAGAAATTTTAATATAAATTTAAATTGAATTACTTTAAGTCAAATGTTAGAAAATTTATCAGAAAAAATAACTTATTTATAAGGATTTTTTTCGATTTTTTAAAAGTAGAATATTGCTGCATTAGGCAATTCTAAATTTTTTTTTTTCCAAAAAATACTTCTTTAAACAGCATTTATTTTTTTAAAATTTGAATGTAAATACCATAAATATTATTGTATACCTTGATATATTTCATATGCTCCAGAAAAAAATCTTGGTATATACTTTTCAAATACAGATAAAGTAGCATTTAAATCTTCTAATACACCAACAACTGCATATTGAGATTCAACAGCATATTTAGCTCTTTCTAAAGCTCCTACTGTATTAAATGGCCTAAAATAATAATATAAAACTTGTAAAATTAATATTTTTTTTTCTATTATATGTATAAAATTTTAATAAAAACTTACGTGCATTCATAATCATGACCACAAAAAAATAATGTTTGTCTACGATGATCACCGATACCTTCATGTGTAACACCTTGTGTAAATGTACATTCTTTATCACCCATACGTACACATGTTTCAAAATCTTTTTTTAACCATGCTGGATCTGGTAATGGTAATTCTGGAAATGCTGCTTTCCTTTCAACAAAATACCATGGTGCTCTTACATAATAAAACCAACTAATAACACGTTCAATTGGATCACGAACAACATTTATATAAATTGGTGTTGGTAAATTAAATTTTGTAAAATTTGTATAACAAACATGTTTGATAAATACTGATGGTTCCGGTAATTCTGTAATTACTTCAGCTAATTCCTGTTGTTGATCATCACCTAAACGTATTGTTTCAACACGTTGTACAGCATCACGATGAAATTGAAAATCATTACGTACAGCTAAACGTCGTAATAATTCCATAAATGTTTGACTACCAACTTTTGGTACACGATTAAAAAATAAAATTTCCATTCCAGCTTTCAATGTATTATTTAGGTCACGAGAATTTAATAATTGCATCTAATTTGATTTTTTTTTATATAGTTGTTATACAATATTATGTTGTCGTTGATATTTCGATAGATTCGATAATGTTAAAAGATTTTTGTTTTTATTTTGTTAATTTTATTCCGAACAGGACGAATGACAGAACAAAAAATTTGTCATTTTGATATTGAATTTTATTTTTCGTTTTTATATATTTTTTATTATTATTATTTTATTTAGGATGTCAATTATGTTGATAGGAAATTATTAAATTCAGTAGATTTGAAAGGATATGAAATTATAAAAAGGATTGTTGTTTTTTTTTTGTGTTCAATGATGATGATAAGAATAAAAGTATGATAATAATAAAAAGAAAATGAAATTTTAGGATTTTAGGATTTTAAAGTTTGATGATTTGAAAATATGGATAAGGATTATTAAATTTAATGTTCGTAGAATAATTATTATAGAGTTGTATAGATGATGCACGTAGATAATAGAGTCATAATATGATGAATGAAAATAAAAAAGAAGAAAGAAAGAAAAAGAAAAAAAATATTAATTAATATATTTGAAAAATAATGAAAAATAATATTAATAAAAAAATATTTAAAAAATTTAAACTTTATTAAATAAGTTTTCTGTTATAATAAGAAAACTTGTTGATTGAAGTATTTTTAATATTACGTTATTAGTAATTCTGTTTAATACTATACTTGTGTTGTTTGATTGAGTATTGTGTTTGTGTGTTGCTTCCATTTCTTCCACTTTATTGTTTGTATTTACAAATATATTTAATTATAAATTAGATTAATAAAATTAAGTTTTTTTATATTGTTATATTTACATTGTGTGTCTAATAATTATGCTAATTATTTAATAATCATTAACTTATTAAATGTATAATAATTATGTAATATAAAAAAAAATAAATTTATTATTGTATAAAAATGTTATGTTATGTGTAAAACAAAGCAAGATAAAAATAATTTTGATATTAAATTAATATTATATAATGTTGTACATATAAATTTATACATATTTATGTTATAATCTACAATTATGTGTTTATTTGTATCTAAAATTTATTTAAAGTAAAATGTTTAATTATAATTTTTTTTTACAATAGTGTACATTATGTATTTCAAATACACTTAAATAATATAAAATTTGATGTAAATTTTGTGTAAATATTAGTTTAATTTAAATTATTTACTAATAACCTAAATGTAAATTAAGAGTCAATTCCACTTATTAAGAATTTATATTTGTATTATTATTTATTTTGATAAGATATATTCAGGAGGCTATCAGGAATTTATAAGTTAGACTAATTAAATTTTATTTGATATAAAATTTAATTAGCCATTTTGTTATAAAGTTCTTATTACTTTATTATGTGTTAAGATGTTTGTATATTCAGAAGAATAACATAGATTTAATTAACAATATCCGTGACTAGTATCCGTGACTATAAATTGTAACAATATTGTATTACGATGCTATTTAGCAATTTCAACTAAAAAATTGAATTACGTATACATATTGTGTTACTGCAATTTCGATGCGGGCGTATATCTAAACGTTTAAGTATAGAACGTGATAGAATTTTGATTAAACAAAGATTAAGAACGTTTAAATTTTTAACAATATAGGGTACATTTTAAGGATAGGGAGCAATATTATTATTTTTCAGAGATAGGGAATATAAGCAATTAATATCAAATAAAATAATTTAAAAAAAAAATAGTTTTCTGAGTTTTTGATCCACATTTATATATTTTATATTAAGCAATTTGTACATGTATATTATACAAATATTATGTACAATATATATACATATATCCTTTAATACAATAATATATTCTTTAACACGCCTGTAAGTATAATTTAAATTTTGTTTTTACAAATACGATTTTATGCCATTAGAATTAGGAAATTTATTTTTAATTTTTTTTTTTGCTTTTTTATATAAAATCAATTTTTTTATCCACAACTAAGGCTAAATATTGTTTATAGAGTCGTTGTTTACACCATTCATAAAATTCAATTTCTTGAGTGAAATTTTTTCTTATTAATTCTTTAACTTCTGGATAAATTTCAGGTTTCATTTTATTCTTATTACGATTTGTTATTTGGTCATAGTGCACTATTTGTTTTTATAAGAAAAGAAATATGTATTTAATTAAAATTTTTTTTCTGTTTTTTAAAAATAACATCCGCATTATATTAGATTTAAGTATTTATTATAAAAAAGATAGGGGATCAACTATAGAAATTATATTTATTTTAAAAAACGCAAAATCAAATGTATGAAATTGTTATAAAAACTCACACTAATGATTTCTTTTGTGTTTTGTCTATAATGCGATGATTAATATAGTCTCTAATATATTACGGATGTAAATAAAAATATAAAATTATTTTAATTACTATAAAATATTTCTGTTGCTCCTCTAAAATATCTTGGAATATAATGTTCGAGTACAGTAAGTGTAATATTTGTGTCTTCCCATGATCCAACAACAGCAAATTCTTTTTCAACATTCTGTTTAGCTATTTGTACAGCTCGTGGTGAATTAAATGGTCTTTAATAAAAGTATAAAAACAAATCAAATGCAAAAAATATCGCTTAGATCAAAATACTAAAAATATCACGAATTTAATATTTTGTTGATAACAAAAAAATTAAATAGAAATTTTTAAAATTATTTCTATTTAATTTTTCTTTTACAATATTTCTTAAAAATTGAAAATCTTCACTGCTATATTAAACAGTAAGAAAACATAAATATTTCTTTAATATTTTCAATATTTTGTTATTTAAAAAAGTAGTTGTGTTAAAATCATGTCTTTAATTAAGTAATAAACTATAAAAATTTTATAAAACTATTTTGAGAAGGATAATTGTATATTTTAATTAATGATATTGTGTAACTGATGTTTAAATTTTTTGTAAAAATAATTTTTGTTATAATTGCTCCTAAATTTATGGATTTCGATTAGTCGTTTAAAGTCAGGAATTTCAAATATTTTGATAAAATATTAATATAAAAATATAATATGTAATTATGTAATAAATTATAGTATTCGTAGAATTCAAATCAATTGTACAAAATTTTAATTATTTCGCAGATTATATTAACTAAAATTTTAAAATTCAATTTCAAACGAAATTTTTGCCACAAGTTCAAATACTTTAGAATAAAAACTTACAGACAATCAGGATTATGACCACAAAAGAATAAAGTTTGACGACGATGATCTCCGACAGTATCTTTAACAGCATCAACTTCATAAACACATTCAGGATCATGTTCTACAACACATTTATTAAAATCTTTTTTCCACCATTCTTCTGGTGGTATTTCTGAATCTGGAAATTGGGTAAAAAAACCAACTGCTTTCCATGGTGAACGAGCATAAAAATACCAACTTATAACACGTTCAACCGGATCACGTACTAAATTAAAATAGATTGGCTTTGGTAAATCTAATTCTTTAAAATTAATCCAAGCAATATGATCATAATAAATTCCAAAACCTATATCAATTATATAATTTGCAATTTCAAGTTGTTCCTCTCTACCCATTTGTCTTGAAATTGTTTTTCTTGGTGGATTACTTTTCATTTTAAATTTATTTTCTTTTGATAAATATTTTAATAATTCTAGCATAGATTCACTACCAGCTTTTGCAACCCGATTAAAAAATATTGTTTCAATTTCAGCTTTTTTTGTATTATTAACAACTTGATAATAAAGTTCAAAATTTGAAAGCTGCTAAAATAAATTAAATTTAAAATGATAAAATATGAAAATAATTAATTAAAAATTTGTAGCAAATTATAAAACATCGCAAATATTTTTAAAGCGAAGCTGCTAAAATAATATACATATTTATGTATTATTTAATTTGCATCACAAAATGTAAAATATATAAAATGTAAAAAAATTAAATTTAATGTTTTTTTTAATTTTTAATTAAAAAACATAGAATAAGGCAAAACTAAGATGCTGTTGAATTTTGTAGTTTTGTAAATTCCCAATTGGTAAATTAATCTAAAATGGTGCATTGGCATCATCAACATGGTGGTGTATTTATATAAGTGAAGATAAGCATCATATTATGCTTCAAAATTTTTCATTTTTGGAACTATTTCTTAATTAATATAAGGAATTGCTTAAGAACAATTGGACTTTTTAGATTTATAAATTCTTAAGCCAAAAAATATATTTCTTGAAATTCTAATTAAATAAAAGTATTTGGAACTTGTCACAATTTCAAAACAAGATTTTCATATAACAAATTCATTTTAATTAAAATTTTGTACAATTGATTAGTATATGATTAAAATTCTTTGTATTTAATTGATGTCTTTAAGACGATTGCATTTAATTGATATTAGATTCGAATTTGTAGTTTCAGATATTAAACTAAATTAATTTAAACTTACAAACAATCAATATTTTGACCACAAAAGAATAATGTTTGACGTTTATAATCTACAAGAAAATCTGTAACAACAAACGGTTCCCATAAACATTCATTATCATGATTAAGAACACATTTATTAAAATCTTTTTTAAACCATTCATCTTTTGGTATCTCTAAATTAGGAAATAATCGGAATGCAACAGAATTTCTATATCCAGATCTTAAATAATAAAACCAGCTTATAATACGTTCAACTGGATCACGCACCAAATTAAAATAAATTGGTTGAGAATAATTAAAACGTCGAAAATCAATATAATTCATATGCCTTAAATAAACCAAAGATATATTTAAATTAAAAAGTTCTTCAATAAATTTTTTTTGATGATCATCACTTAGTCGTCTTTCCATTTTTTGTTTTGGTTTGCTCATATGTACTCTAAAATTATTCAGTTTACTTAAAATCAAGAGTAATTCATACATTGCTTCAGTACCGGCTTTTGCAACTCGATTAAATAATAATATATCAATTTCAGCATTTTTTGTATTATTTAAATCATCAGAATTTAATTTCAAAATCTGTATATAATTGAAGAATAAAAAATTATCAGAAATAAAATAAAAGATTTTCATCCGGGTTATTACAATAATTTATATTTATTTTTTGAATTGATCGCGCGTTTGAAGGAATGAAAATTGATATTTTTGGAATCCGAAAAAATTAATGAATTAATTAATTTTATTAATAAATTTTTATTTTAAGAGGAGAGTGGTAAAATATATATGAAAAATTCCTGCATTCTGTTATTCAATGCATTAAGATAAATGAAAACTTATTTACAAAATTTGTTTAAGAATTCGCGTTTTGTAAAATAGAATAAATTATAAACACAGTCTGAGCTCAAAATGTAGTAATACGATATTAATACACGTATCAGCTACCCACTAGCTAGCATGTTTTAATACCGTATTCAGTTTATATAGAATTTAGACTTACAAGCAATCAATATTATGGCCACAAAAAAATAATGATTGTCTAACATAATCTCCACGAAAATCTTGTACAATAAATGGTTCCCATTGACATTCCAAATCATGATTAATTACACATTTATTAAAATCTTTTTTAAACCATTCTTCACTTGGTAATTCTAAATTAGGTAGCAATCGAAATGCAATACCATTCCTGTATCCTGATCTTACATAATAGAACCAACTTATAACACGTTCAATTGGATCACGTACTAAATTAAAGTAAATTGGTTGTAAATGTTCAAAATATCTAAAATCAATATAATTTATATGTTCTATATAAGCCAATGATACATTAAATTTAAGAAATTTTCCAATAAAATGTTTTTGTTCTTTTGGATTTAGCCGCCTTTTTACATTTTTTGTTGGTATATTCAGAATCACTTCGAAATTATTTATTCGACCTAGAGCCGATAATAATTCATACATTGCTTCGCTTCCGGCTTTTGCAACTCGATTAAAAATTAATCTATCGATTTCAGCATTTTTGGTATTATTCAATTCATCGGAATTTAGTTTTGATATCTGCGTTAATGGAAAAATCGAGAAAAATATCTTGAGATGAAAATATTTTGATTGTTTTCACTTAATATTCAAATTCTATTTAAGTTTAATCGATGGCATCAAGGAAAAACAATTTTGTAATCGAAACTGATAATATTTGGGAAGGCTTATGAAATTTTGCTTAAGAAGGAAACGTTATTAAAATTAGAATCCCGAAAATTAAGTCAAATGCAACAGTGCAATGAAATGCAAATGAAAGTTCCTGCATTTTAAAAGAATTGTTAAAAATATACCAAAAGATTAATTCAAATCAATATTGTGTAATACAAAAATAATATAAAATTGAATTTCGATATAAGACTAGTTGCAAAATCCAAGATTTACCAAGCTAAAAATTATTACAGTTCTATATATCCTTGAAATTCAAAATTCAAATGTTATTGAGTATTGATAAGAGACTTACAGACATTCAGGATTATGACCACAAAAGAATAAAGTTTGACGGCGATAATCCCCGGCAGTATCTTTTATAGCGTCAACTTCATAAGTACATTCAGGATCATTTTCTACAACACAATTATTATAATCTTTTTTCCACCATTCTTCTGGTGCAATTTCTGAATCTGGAAATTGGGTAAAAAAACCAACTGCTCTCCAAGGTGAACGAACATAAAAATACCAACTTATAACACGTTCAACCGGATCACGTACTAAATTAAAATAAATTGGTTTTGTTAGTCCTAAATCATTGAAATCTATCCAAGGAACATGATCGTAATAAATTCCGTAATCTATATCAATGATATAATTTGCTATTTCGAGTTGTTCTTCTCTACCCATTTGTCTTGAAATTGTTTTTCTTGGTTGATTTCTTTTCATTTTAAAATTATGTTCTTTCGATAAATATTTTAATAATTCTAGCATAGATTCACTACCAGCTTTCGCAACTCGATTAAAAAATATTGTTTCAATTTCAGCTTTTTTTGTATTATTAAGAGTTAGAGAATAATTTTCAATATTTGAAAGCTAAATTTAAGAAAAAATTATATATGAAATATTCGTATACAAAAAATTATGTAATTTGTAGCAGATTGAAAATTTCAACATTGCAAATAATTTGGAAGCTAGGCTGCTAAGAAGTATCTGTATTCATGTGTTATTTAATTTGCATCGCAATATATTAAAATTACAAAAATTTAGCAGAAAATAATGTACCTATATTCTAAAATGAAATTTAGTCTGGTTTAGCTAAAAACAATGGATAACATTTTTCATTCATCAACATTTAAATATGTCTGATTATATTATGGGTTTTTAATCGAACATGTTCGATTGATGTTTGAAATATCAAAACTCCTGAATGACTAAATTGATGGGTTCTAAGAAGAATTTAATAAAATAAATTTTCAACTAAAATAATTTAATTTATTTTTTCGAAAAATTGGAAACTCCTAAGGAGCAGAATTATTTAATTAAATTTTTAATTTCATTAAAAATTAAAAAAAATTAATAAATTTTAGATTATTAAAATTAAGTTATTAATTTATTTTATAGTATGTTGATAAAATTTTTGATAATAAACTTACAAACAATCAAAATCATGTCCACAAAAGAAAAGTGATTGCCTACGGTAATCTCCGCTACTATCTACAACTGTAAATGGTTCCCATAAACATTCACGATCGCGATTATAAACACATTTATTAAAGTCTTTTTTAAACCATTCTTCTGTTTGTAATTTGAAATCAGGGAAGCTTTGAAATTGAAGGGCATTTTTAAGTGGTGCTCTCCTATAAAAATACCAACTTATAACACGTTCAATTGGATCACGTATCAAATTGAAATAAATGGGTTGTGGATAATCGAAATCCCTAAAGTCGATATAATTCTGATGTTCTACATAAACTGTAGAATCGCCAAATTTACTAATTGTTTCAACTAGTTTCCCTTGTAGTGTTTTATTCAATTGTCTTGCATGAAATTTTTGTGGTGGATTCTCTTCTAAAACAAAATTATTTATGTTTTGTAAAATTTCTATTAATTCAATCATTGCTTCGCTACCAGCTTTTGCAACACGGTTATAAAATAAAATATCGACTTCAGCATTTTTTGTATTATTTAAAGCGTTGGCACTCAAATTAAAAATCTGTTTTTAATTAAAAATTAGAAGAATAAGTTAAATCAAATGTAATTCAATATATGTACGACTTTGTTCTTTAACTAATATGATGCGCGCCAAAAGAAATGGTAACTTTTGTAGTCTAAAATCGAAGGGTTAATATTGTATATGCATAGTCAAATTCTAGATTATAAATTTGTGCGCTAGAAATTGGGATTTGCAAAGACATTGTGTCGAAAAGAGGAGTTGTAGAATAGGAAAATTATGAATCGAAACTAAACCACATCCCCACCAATAAATAAGCAAATAATTTTTCTTGAAAAAATTTTTGAAAAACTAGTTATAAAATTTTCAAGCTCGAGGTTATGCAGTTTGTAGTTAATTAATTGTAATTGCATTTTCAAAACCATTTGAAATTTAAAATATTTTAGAATATTTTTAGAAATTCTTACAATATTTTAAAATGTAGACAGCAGATATGTAGCTGTTGGCAAATTAAGATTTTAATAAAATAAATCTATTTTCATTAAGGCAATATTTCCTATCAAAAATTTATGAATCAAAGTAACATCCCAATATGGCTTGGATTATTTCAAATTAATATTAGAGAATATTGATAAAATTTATGATAAAATTTAAAATTAAAAATAATATAAAACTTACAAACAATCTGGTTCATGGCCACAAAAAAATAATGATTGTCTACGATAATCTCCACTACTATCTTTAACAGTAAATGATTCCCATAGACATTCAGGATCATGATCCATAACACATTTATTAAAATCTTTTTTAAACCATTCTTCCGTTGGTAACTTTAAATCAGTAAATCTGGCAAATTGAACAGCAACTTTATGTGGAGCTCTTGCATAAAAATACCAACTAATAACACGTTCAACCGGATCACGTACCAAATTTAAGTAAATTGGTTTAGGATAATCAAATGTTCCAAAATCAATATAATTTTGATGTTCTATATATATTGCAGAATCATCTAATTTAATAACTTCTTCAACTAATTGTTGTTGTAATGTTCTATTCAATTGTCTTGGATTAAATTTTAATGGTTTACTCATTTGTACTTTGAAATTATTTGTTTTTTTTAAAATATCTAATAGTTCAAGCATTGATTCACTACCAACTTTTGCAGCCCGATTAAAAAATATAACATCAAATTCAGCTTTTCTTGTATTATTTAATTCTTTTGAACTAAGTTTATGTAACTGAATTTAATGAAATTTTATAAGAATTTTAGTAATAATTTGTCAGTAGATAATTGTTTAATAAAATTTTGAGATTTTTTGTCAATTTTATTTGGATTTGGTGCGTTTTAAATAGAAATGAAACCCTGGGAAACCGATATACGGAAAAGAATACACTTTTGTGTTCATATTAAATTTAATTTAAATACGAAATCTTTTTTAAATACATTAATAATTTTGTTCATAATTTGTTTTAAAGAGAAATTGAAGCGATAGTTTAATAATATTAATTGTTATATAAGAAAAGATAAATTTTAAAATTCGATCATCTTTAGTTCTGCCTGGAATACAAATTCCAGGAATGAAGAAGGTTAATGTTATAAAATTCTAAGAGATGAGAAGATACAATGCTTATGCCATGTAGTTCTTTACAGATCAAAGACGCATGATTTAGTTTTAAAAATTATTTGTGCTACAGAAATTTAATGCAAAACAATTGAACAAAGAAAGAACAACAAACAGAATAATTGAATTTAAAAAGAACCATGCACAATATCCACCATTGTAAAAAGTTTAGAAATCTAAGACAAAATGTTGAGAGGAAGGGAAATAAAATATTATCAAATGTATATTCAACTACCCTGAAATATCAAATATTATCGCTACGATTTAAATTAACAACTTCTCTTCTTGAAATTGCAATCCATATAGATGAACAGCCAAGTCATGTGGTTTGTAAGTCATATTTTAGACACTATGTGACTAGAAAAAACTTAATTGAATGTATACGATTACGCGGAGAATGTGCGCGGTTATAATTACAAATACCAAAATAAGAGAACCAGAAAACTTTGTTGGGCTTACTTTACAATAGATGGCGGTTTATCAATAATTTTGCTTGCCGAATCTATGTAAATGCGGCATTTAAAAATAATTTAAATTTATTTTAGTCATAAGTCTTAGGTAATGCTACACTATCAAACCATAATTTTTTCATTAAATTTATTAATTTTATTTTTTCATAAACTTACACACAATCAGCATGATTACCACAAAAAAATAATGTTTGCCTTCTGTAGTCACCAGTATAATCATTAAAACTATATAAATTCCATACACATTCGGGATCATGATCGAGAACGCATTTATTAAAATCTTTTTTGAACCATTCTTCATTTGGAACAATTAAATCTGGGAATTTATCAAATTTTTTTGCTCTTAATGATGATCTCTCATAATAATACCAACTTATAATACGTTCAATTGGATCACGTATCATATTAAAATAAATTGGTTGTGGGCAATTATATTTAAAGAAATCAATATAATTTTGATGTTCAACATAAATTGTAGAATCACCAAATTTAACTAGTTTTCTTGCTAATTTTCTTTCTTGATTATTATTCAATTGTAATGAAACAACACTCATTTGTTTCTCGTGTCGTATTTGAAAATTATTTACTTTACTTAAAATATTCATTAAATCGATCATAGCTTCACTACCAGCTTTTGCAACTCGATTATAAAATAATAAATCAAATTCAGCGTATTGCGTTAAATTTAATTCATTCACATTAAGATCCATTAACTATATTGAAATGATATTAAAATTTATGTAATCACATGTTGTTATTAAATTTTATTTGACTTTAATCGAGTGCGTTCAAAGAATTGCGACTGGTAGTGTTATGAAGTAGCTACCTAGGTACTGGTAATATCGAAGTGATTGTAAATTATAAAGCATAATTTAATTGTATTTTAATAAATGAAGCAGCGTTTTTTTTCAGAAGAGATTTTTTGGAATTTGAAGGGATTCTTATAAGAACAAAATAAAACTTAAGATTAATTTAATATTATAATAATTAAAAACATGACTTTATCATTAGAAAATTCATATGAAAGCAAAAAAAAAAAATCACAAATTTTTAAATGCAAAAGAACCAGAGAATCTTAAAAAAGAAGTAAAAGTTTTCGCCATTTTTAAATGATAATTTAGAAAAAAATATTAATTTTTCTAACACTTACATACATTCAGGATTATGACCACAGAAAAATAAAGTTTGTCGACGATAATCACCGCTAGTATCATAAAAAGAATCAATTTCCCAATAACATTCAGGATCATGTTCTAAAACACATTGATTAAAATCTTTTTTATACCAATCTTCTGGTGGTATTTCTGAATCTGGGAAATTTTTAAACATAGCAACTGCTTTCCATGGTGAACGATTATAAAAATACCAACTAATAACACGTTCAACCGGATCACGTACCAAATTAAAATAAATTGGTTTTGGTAAATTAAATTTTGAAAAATCAATCCAATTTTGATGTTCACAATAAACTGTATCGGGACCATTTTGTAATATTTCAATTGCTAAATCTCTTTGTTGATCCTCTTTTAATTGTCTAGGATTTACTTGTTTTGGTTTATCCATTGCTTTTTTAAAATTATTAACTTTTTTAAGTAAATCCAAAAATTCTAACATTGATTCACTACCAGCTTTAGCGACACGATTAAAAAATGCCAATGGAGTTTGAGCATATTTTGTATTATTTATATCATAAGTATGTAGATGTTCTAGCTATTTTAATAAATTATACATTCTTATATAATTATGATGATAGTTTGTTGAAAATTAAACAAAAAAAAATTTTTACAAAAGATC